ACTACTCAGATTATCTATTTATTCTTGAGAGAGTTTGGTGGTTCATGTCTTTTGAGGAATTGACCCATTTCATCCTAGTTGTCAGATTTACGTGTGAGCAGAGATGTTTGTGGAGTTCCCTTGCTATTCTAATGTCTGTGGGGTCTGAAGTGATACCCCTCTTCCAACCCTAACCTCAGTCATGTGTGTCTGCTCTTTTCTCTTGTCGGTTCTGCTAGAGGCTTATCTCCTTTATTGATCTTCTCAAGGAACCAGATTTTGGTTTAATTAATTTTCTTTCTTTCTATTTTTTTCTTTTTCTTTTTCTTTTTTTTTTTTTTTTTGAGATGGAATTTCACTCTGTCACCCAGGTTGGAGTGTGGTGGCACAATCTCAGTTCCCTGCAACCTCTACCTCCCAGGTTCAAGCTATTCTGCCTCAGCCTCCCAAGTAGCTTAGATTACAATCATGGGCCACCACATTCAGCTAATTTTTGTATTTTTAGTAGAGATGGGGTTTTGCCATGTTGGCCAGGCTTGTCTCAAAATCCTGACCTCAAGTGATCCACCCACCTCGGCCTCCCAAAGTGCTGGGATTATAGGTGTGAGTCACCACGCCTGACTGGTTGAATTAATTTTCTCCATTGTTTTGCTATTTTCTATTGCATTGATTTCTAATTTTATATGCATACATACACAAGTATCCATAAATTTGTATATTTTTTCCTGCTTGCTTTCAGATTATTTGTTCCTTGAAGGTTATGTAGAATTCACCAATGAAACCCTCTGGACTTGAAAGGGTTTTTTGTGTGGGAAGGCTTTTAACTACAAATTCTGTTTCCTGATAGAGATATTCAGGCTCCTTCCTTCTTGAGTTTGGTGGTTCAGGTCTTTCAAGCAATTGGTCCCTTTCCTCTTAGTTTCCAAATGTATGTGGTGTGCAGTATTCCTGTATTATCCTTTTAACGTCCGTGGGATCTGAAGTGATATTCCTTTTATCATTCCTGATATTGGTAATTTGCATCTTCTCTCTTTTTCATCTTGCCAGTCTTGCTAAAATTTAAAAAATATGCTGATCTTTTCAAAGAACCAGCTTGACTATATTCTTTGTTTATATCTTTTTAGTGGTTGCTCTAGAGTGCAAGTATATTGCTTACTCTTGCACTGTGTACTTAGAATCAATATTTCACTAATTTAGGTGGAATCCAGGAATCTTCCCACAAGATAGGCCACTTGTCTCATAAATGACAAATACTCCTATTGAAAACCCCATCAGAGAATGGTGTGATTTTTGTTTACAACATCAAACACATTTTGAAGAGACTAACCCATTAGATTTACCCATATGTTTACCTAAAACTCTGAGGATAGGAAACTTTCTCTCTTAGAAGAGGCTCTGTGGTCCCAAGACAGTTGGTGAGCCCGTTGTTTAAAATTGTCAGCTGGTATTTTATCTCTTCATGTCCTCATTCATGGCCCTTGGTGTCTCCATGTGTCTCTGACTGCGGGTACTGGCTATCGCCTATGGTGGCTGCTTTCCTTGTGTGCTTGTGGTTTTCTGCTGTGAGCTCATGTTTGCCTCGGCTGTAGGTGGGGAGCTCAGGGCCTTGGTTGAGGACACAGACTTTGTCTGAAGTTTTGCTGCACTTCCTTCAAACCAGGTTGCTCTGGGTCCTATCAATTCAGGACCCACTTTAAGTGACTTGCTCAGCTTGTGGTTTTCTGGGCCACAAAACTGATGCAAATGTGTGCCTCCCACCTGGGTAAGGGTGGGCCTGAAGTTGTCACTTCTCAAGGGAAATGTTTTTTCACCCATCTCAGACTCAGCAGAACATATTTCTCTGCTGTCTCCTTCTGGCAGTGGCTGGGTCGCCTTCTAGCCCCACTGTCAGAGGGCACAGTCCCTTCTGGGGTCTCTGCTTTGGGTAGCAGCTCTGAGCTCCAGCCACCCACTGCGCAGAACAAAGACTTGTCTCTTCTGCATTGCACGCTCCCATGTAGCTCTTAAAACCAAGGCGTCTGGGTGTGTGTGCACGCTGTGCTGTACCCTCACAGGTAGGACTCAGCAAAAGCAGCGAACGGGTGACATTCCATGCAACACGGTGGACGAATCTCGCCAACACAGTCCGGGGCCAAAGGAGCTGGCCACGAGAGGACATGGCCTACGAGAGCATTTCATGAAGTCCAGTAACAGGCAAAACTGGTGTCTGATGGGAAAATTCAAGCTCGTGGTTACTCTTGGTGGAGAGTGGGTGACAATTCGAAATGGGTGCCTCTGGGGTGCTGGAATGTTCTATTTCTTGCTCTGAGGGCCAGTTCTAGGAGGGTGCTCGGCTTTCGTGGAAATATATTGAGTTCTACATGGACACCTTGTCCACTTTTCTATAGTTTTATTTTAATACAATGTGGCAACAGCAGCAAGGGACCCTCTTTCCTAGGGGGCACCTCTATTCCGCAGCCGTCACCCCACCTGACCCTTCACTCTGAAATGTGACAGAGCATATTTCTGCTGTACACTGCGCTGCTCCCTCCTCCAGGCGATGAAGCCTATATGTCCCCTCTTTCCCTTTTTGCTCTGACTGCTAGGGAGCTCATATTAAAGGCTGGGCTCTCTGGTTGTCCTTTTCCTGGATCTGGATGCCATGATATTGATGCCTCTTCTACCCTTTCTGTCCTTTTTTGGGTGGTTTCGCTCCTGGAGAACTTTCACTCTAACATAATCCACACTTTTTGGATGAGCCAGCTGGCATCAGGCCTTGGGGACAAAGTGACATTGGTTGAGATTCTGGCTCTGTGGCTTTCACTTCTGTAACTGGGATTGAGGATGCAAAGCATCAAACTCAGAGCTGGCAACATGACATGGACTCCGTGAGTCCTTCTCTCTCCTTCTGGCAGTGGCTGGGTCGCCTTCTAGTCCCCCCGTCAGAGGGCACAGTCCCTTCCAGGGCCTCTCCTTTGGGTAGCAGCTCTGAGCTCCAACCATCCACTGTGCAGAACAAAGACTTGTCTTCTGCGTTGCGCCCTCCCATGTAGCTCTTAAAAGTGTGATGATAGGCCGGGTGCAGTGGCTCAAGCCTGTAATCCCAGCACTTTGGGAGGCCGAGACGGGCGGATCACGAGGTCAGGAGATCGAGACCATCCTGGCTAATCCGGTGAAACCCCGTCTCCACTAAAAAATACAAAAAAAAAAAAAAAACTAGCCGGCCGAGGTGGTGGACACCTGTAGTCCCAGCCACTCGGGAGGCGGAGGCAGGAAAATGGTGTAAACCCGGGAGGCGGAGCTTGCAGTGAGCTGAGATCCGGCCACTGCACTCCAGCCTGGGCGGCAGAGCGAGACTCCGTCTCAAAAAAAAAAAAAAAAAAAAAAAAGTGCGATGATTATTTTTGAATCATAATGCATCCATGGACACACTGGAAGCTCTGGATTAGACCTGAATGGAGTGGTCAGCAGGGAGAGCTCCTGGCCAAGGATGGCCAGGCAGAAAGATGAGAGGCGGGTCCCCAGGGCCACTGAGTCACCGACAGCCTGGGGCTCAGGGGCTGAGGGGAGAGACCGTCAGGAAGGACTGGCAAAGCAGCCATGCTGGGGCCTCAGGAAAAGGCACTACTGACTGGCCAAGGTCCTCCCTGGGGCCTGCCCTGCACTGCCTCCGCCCCCACATTTGCTGTCAGAGCCGTGGTGAGACGGGGCCTGAGATAGGAGGTATCTTCCTGGCGATGTCCTGAGTGTGGCTCCTGAGAGGAGAGCGGTCTCTGGCCAGATGTTCCATTGTGGTTATGAGCAGCATTTGCAGTCAGACAGGGAGGTTAGAATCGCACCTGTGCCACCTGTGTCTGGGGCCACGCCCAGGCGTATGCTGACTCTGCACCTCAGTCACGGCTGCTATGGGAGGCAAGAAAAAGGACACACACCTTGTGGGTCCCTGGAGGACTGGATAGACTGGCTCCACCCAGGACCTGAGCTGCAGGTGAGGGTTCTGAGTCCCTGTCAGCTGCGAGCACCTGGGATGCAGGAGGAGCTCAGTAAACACACATTCAGTGACGGGCAGTGAACGGGCCGACTCTACAGGCAGATTTCCCTCAGACAAGAGCTGCAGGGAAAGAGACACAGTGGTAGGCGGTGCTTGTTACTTTGAGGTGTGTTCCTTCAGGACCTAGTTTATTCAGAGTTTTTGGCATGAAGGGATGTTGGCCGGGTGTGGTGGCTCACGCCTATAATCCCAGCACTTTGGGAGAGCAAGGCAGGCAGATCACTTGAGGTCAGGAGTTCGAGACCAGCCTGGCCAACGTGGTGAAACCCTGTCTCTACTAAAAATACAAAAATTAGCCGGGCATGGTGGTGGAAACCTGTAATCCCAGCTACTCGGGAAGCTGAGGCAGGAGAATCACTCGAACCTGGGAGACGGACTTTGCAGTGAGCTGAGATCACACCACTGCACTCCAGCCTGGGCAACAGAGTGAGACTCCACCTCAAAAAAATAAAATATAAAATGAAGTGATGTTGAATTTTATCAAAAGCCTTTTCTGCATCTATTGAGATGATCATGTGGCTTTTGTCTTTAGTTCTGTTTATGTAATGAATCACATTTATTGATTTGTGTAGGTTGAACCAACGTTGCATCCTAGGGGTAAGGCCTACTTGACTGTGGTGGATAAGCTTTTTGATGTGTTGCTGGATTCATAAATCATTCTATCATAAAGACACATGCACACATATGTTTATTACAGCCCAATTCACAGTAGCAAAAACAAGGAATCAACCAAAATGCCCATCAACTGTAGACTGGATAAAGAAAATGTGGTACATATACACCATGGAATACTAGGCAGCCATAACAAAGAATGAGATCATGTCATTGGCAGGAACATGGATGGAACTGGAGGCTATTATCCTTAGCAAACTAACTCAGGAACAGAAAACCAAATACTGGACATACTTACAAGTGGGAGCAAAATGATGACAACTCATGGACACACAGAGGGGAGCAACACACAGGGGCCTATCAGAGGGTGGATGGTGGGAGGAGGGAGAGGAACAGGAAAAATAACTAATGGGTACTTGGTTTAGTGCCTGGGTGATGAAATAATCTGTACGACACATCCCCAGGACATGAGTTTACCTACGTAACAGACCTGCACATGCTCCTCTGAACCTAAAATAAAAGTTTTATTTTTTTTTTGAAAGCTGCAGTGAGAGCAAGTCTTGCGGGTGGGAAATGTGTTTATTTAAAGTGTCTCAGGTCCTGGTGACCCTTAACTGAGAGAGAAGCCACAAGAGTGGCCACCTCCTGGGGAGGAAGGTTTGGAGCCTTTTGGGGTTGGGGGCAGATCTCCACCGCCTCCCCGACCTGCCGCTGCTCTGGAGAAGGAGGACAGGAGGAGTCATGGACAGGGAGGGCCCTGTCCCAGCAGGACCTGGCAAGGGGCTTGTCAGAGGAGATTGCAGGGCTCTGGGAACTGGGAGGGTGCTGGGCATCAGGAGAGAGGAAGAGAGTTCTCATGAAGAATGACTGGAAAGGGTCAGCACAGGCCAAGAACCTGGAGTCATCACCTTCCACAAAATTCAGGGGACACAACTTCTAGAGCTGTGGGACAGACAGGACTGAAATGCAGTGCTGGTCACTTCTTGGGTAGTGTGGACATGCTGGACTCACCTGAGATCCAAAGTCACACCCTCAGATCTTGCACTGGCAGCACACGGGGACACAGCAGCTGGACTGGGAACAGCAGGGTTTGCAGCAGGTGGACTGGCAGCAGGATGACCCACAGCCTGAGGAGCAGCAGGGCTTGCAGCAGCTGGACTGGCAGCAGCCACAAGATCCACAGCCTGGGAGCACAGGCTACAGCCTTGCTGGCTCCCACAGAGCCACAGCCCCCTTGGACCCCCACAGAGCACAGCTGACAACGCGCCCGCGCACACGGCTTGCAGCAGCAGCGGGCCACAGCCCTGGAACCCCCACAGGCCCACAGCCGGAGCCAGGAACAGCCGGCCACAGCCACAGCGGAGCGCAGCACAGCGGAGCGCAGCACAGCCGGCCACAGCCCAGCTGGAGCCACAGCCCCCACAGCCGGAGCCACAGCCTCCAGAGCAGCCACAGCAGCCCATGGTTCTGGTGGGTTGAGGGTGGAGCAGGTAGAGGAGCAGGTGAGAGGGAGGTGTGCAGGTGTGGAGCTTCCTGAGCCTGGGCCCTTTATATGCCTGCCCAGGGTCAGGAGTGATGCTGGACACACAGTCATTTCCTGGTTCCTGTTTATGCCATTTCCATAGGGAAACTGTTTGTTTGCTTTATCTTAAAATACCTTAAAACAAACTCAGGTGTATATAGTTTTGCACTTTTTCTTTAGTTCATGATTTTCCTCACATGTCCTCTGAAAAATGACAAGACCCCTGTCCTTCTGTGCCAGTGAGGGCAACGGGAACGGGGACTTGGCTTTGATGCTGTGCTCATCCTTGCTACCAGTGTTCATTTCCTGGGGCTGCCATAACAAATGGCCCCCAACTGGAGCCTTAACATGGACATTGATGCCTCGCAGTTCAGGCAGACGGAAGTTCAAGATCAAGTTCTCCGTGGGACACGCACTCTCTGAAGGCTCCAGGGGAGGATTCTTTCTGCATCTTCCAGCTTCTGATGGTGGCCAGACATTCTTCGCTTGTGGCTGCATCCTTCGTCTCTGCCTCTATCCTCAAGTGGTCTTCTCCACTGAGTGTCTGTGTCTCACCTCCTCCCCTCCTTTCTCTTACGGGGACACCAGACATTGGATCAGGGCCCACCCTACTCCAGTATAACCTCATCTTAACTTGATTACATCTGCAAAGACCCAGTGTCCAAATAAGGTCACATTCAGAGTTTCCAGGTGGACAGGAATGAGGGGATCCTATTCAACCCATGCCTGTGCTGATGCTGATGCTAATGCTGACTGATGCTGCCTTGACTCCAAAAGTCCCAGGGAAAGTTTACGGAAGGCACAGGGAGACCATGCATGGAGTCACCGTAGAGCAGGTGATCCCATCCTGGGCCATCACCCATGGGCAGAACAAGATGAAACCCAGGATCTCATAAGATCCAGGATGAGGAAAGGATTCAGGATCAGAATAGGACTCAGGATCAGGGCAGTTTCGGGACAGGACTCAGAAACAGGGCAGGACCCAGGATCAAGACAGGACCTGGGATCAAAACAGGACTCAGGAACAGAACAGGACTCAGGATCAGAACAGGACTCAGGATCAGGGCAGGACACAGGATCAAGACAGGACCCAGGATCAAAACAGGACTCAGGATCAGAATAGGACTCAGGATCAGAACAGGACTCAGGATCAGAACAGGACTCAGCATCAGGGCAGGTCTCAGGATCAGATCAGGGTAGGACCCAGGATCAAGACAGGACCCAGGATCAGGACAGGACTCAGGATCAGGGCAGGACTCAGGATCAGGGCAGGACACAGGATCAAGACAGGACCCAAGATCAAAATAGAACTCAGGATCAGAACAGGACTCAGGATCAGAACAGGACTCAGCATCAGGGCAGGTCTCAGGATCAGATCAGGGTAGGACCCAGGATCAGGACAGGACTCAGGATCAGGGCAGGTCTCAGGATCTGGACAGGACTCAGGATCAGGGCAGGTCTCAGGATCAGGCAGGACTCAGGATCAGGACAGGACTCAGGATCAGGCAGGACCCAGGATCAGGCAGGACCCAGGATCAGGCAGGACCAGGAGGGCTTCAGGATCAGGGCAGGTCGGCGGAGGACCAGGATCAGGCAGGACCCAGGATCAGGCAGGACCCAGGATCAGGGCACATCTCAGGATCAGGACAGGACTCAGGATCAGGACAGATCTCAGGATACCTGGGTTCCTGCTGTCTTGGTTGGAAAGTGGGGGCCTGAGTGCATACCCAGGAATCATGACCCTGCAGAGTCATTTCTCTGGGACTGGATGACTCCAGGCTCAGTAGTTTGGGGCTTAGAGATGCTGTCGGTCAGCAGCCTGTGAGGCACCGAGGGCATACTCCAATGGACCAGCAGAGTTAGAGAAACAAAGGAAACGCCGTGTGGCAGCTCGGGAGCCCCTCACCTTTGGGCTTCGCTGACAGAGGAGGACACAGGGATGGAAACTCTGAGAAAGTCACAGCTGTGGGAGGGTCCCAGTGCCCCACTCCACACACAGGATGATGGCCACCCACAGACCACAGGGCCTGTGGCTTGTATGCCCAGTCAGGTGACAATGCCATTCAGAAACTAGATCTCACGAGGTGCCCGGCTGCTGAGTCTCAGGCCAGGTCTGCCGTGAGTGTGGTGCCCCAGGCCTGGAACACTCTGGTGCCATCAGGACCCAATGCTGGGTGCACTCAGGAGCTGTGGGTCTGAAACAGCGGTCAGAGGTCACCGACATGTGGAGGAGGCACCTGGAGTGTGGAAGACAGAATCCCCAGGTACCAGGCTTGGCAGGAAGCTTTGCAGGACTGAGCAGGTGGGGAGGGAAGGCAGTGAGCACGGCTGCCGGAGGAGAGACGTGTCCTTGGAGGTGGGTCTCCAGGGCAGGGCAGGGCAGAGCACCAGCCTGGAGGTGTTTTGTGCACATGCTGGATACCTGGCAGCCATGGCGGCGTGGGCTTAGGACCGGCTCCCGAATTTTCAGGGCCCAAAGCAATGTCACAACGCAGGCTCCTTGTCCAAGCGTGGCAAAGGAATTCAAGACCATTGGAAACTCACACTGAGCAGGTTACTTCTCACTTGTGTGGTTGCTGCATCTACAACCCCCATTGCCATCCCGTGAGCCCGGAGGTTCTCAGGAATCAGTGCATTCTTGTGAAACACGTGGTTTTATTTTGAGGAGCGTTTCCAATTCTGCAATAGGGGTGTGCACGGCCTTGCTCTACTGGTCACTGTCCTGCTTCAGCTCTGGGTCTGAACGTGGCTCCACGTGGCTCCAGGGTCACTCCATCCACACCCAGGGACACCCACCCGGGCCACTTCCAAGCTCTACCCCGCCGTGTGCCTGGAGGACAATCGCCTGCGGACAGACCCGCCCGCCGCCCCAGCAGTCGTGTGACCTCAGGCAGTGCACAGCCTCCCTGGTCCTCAGTATCTTCATCTATAAAATGAGGAGCACTGACCACTTTGCAGAGCGGCTTTGGAGGCCAGAAGTCATGAAATGAAGTTGCGGGCCGCTGACCCACGGTTGTCATTTTAGCTCTCGGCTTCCTGACCCTGGGTTCTCGGTCTCCCCCTTTAGTCTCTCTTCCTCCCCGCAGCGCAGCGCCTCGTCCTCCAGGCCAGTGCGGCCCACGGCTGCGGGGAGCAGCGGCTGCAGGAGCGCAGCGGGCGGACCGAGCCGCGCAGATGAGCAGTCCTTGAGCGCCCCCTGGGGGCCGCGAGCTCCGAGCCTGTGGCCGAGGGCGGGGAGGCGCCTGCTGGGCTCTGCAGAGGTCAGAGGCAGGGACTTGGGGGTTGCCGGGGGCCCTGACACAGCCTGGCACGGAGGAGGCATCGCCCGGCCCCCCTCGGGGCTGTAGCTCAGAGCAGCCCTGGTGCCATGACCACCCTCCAAGCCCTGGCCCAAGTGAGCAGAGCCCTGGGCGTGGGGAGACCTTCCCTTCTGCCCCGTTCCCCTGCGTGTTGACCTCACAGAGCAGGAAGGGGGCCAGCAGGAACACGGGAGGGGGCGTGAACATGGGAAGGGGGCAAGGCCCTGGGGTCGGCTCACCTGCTGCTTGCCCTGTGCCAGCTGACCTGGGCCTCCCTCTGTCTCCGCCACATCCTCCCCGGCCTGTCTCCACCATGGCCTCCATCCCCAGGCACTGGCCCCTGGTCCCCAGGCTCTGGGTGTGGCAGCCCCTCGCTCAGGGCCACGGAGAGCGAAGGGAGGGCAGCTCCTGCCTCTGCTGTTTCTGGGTGGACTCCCTTTCCCTGTCCCCACGGTGGCAGCTCTGGTTTTCTCTGCACCTGAGTCCCTGTCCCCATCCCCCAGAAGCTTCCTGTGTCCGGGGAAGGGTCCTTCGTCCCTTGCGACTTTCTCCAAGTTACTATATATGCACTCGGAGCTTCCTTTTCTCACCTGCAGAACTGCAATGGGAGTAACAGGCCCTGCGGCCTGGGCCTGGGCTGGCCGAGAAGCGCCACCTGGTGGCAGGATCCTCCCCAGAGCACTGCCCCAGCCCCGGGGTCTGCAGCTCTCCGGGGGCCATGTCCCCGGCTGGTTCGGCGCCCAGGGACAGAACCCCAGACTCAACGTGTGCATTCTTTCCAACCACAATGACTTTGATGCTTTTGAAAAAACAAAAATTAAATTAAAAATTAAAAATTAAACAGCACATCCTTTAAGTTTTGTTCTGTGGGCTTCTCTTTCTGGGCAGGTGCCTAGCCCGCCCGTGCACACCATCAGAGCAACGCAACCAGACCCCAGCCTCGGCTCAGCCAGGGCCTCTAGGGAAGATGCCTGAAACCAAGCCCTCATTTCTAGTTGATAAAGCACGGCTTCCATTTCATGGCATGCACTGATGCTGGTTTAGAACGGCTCCCACCCTTCCCTCTCTTGGTAGCAGATAGTGAGTAGCTGTGGCCCTCTGAGAACAGGACAGGGGCTCACACCTCTGAGCCATCTCCGTCCTGCTCCTCAGCCCTGGAGAGTAGAAGGGAGTGCATGGGAAAGTTGAAGGCTGCATGCTTAGGGCTGGCATGGCCAGGGGCACCCAAGGGAGGAGGGACATTTGAGAGCTAGGCTCTCAGGACCTGGGTGTCTGTGGCTTCCTGGGGATGCAGGGATGGATGGAGTTGTGCCTGGCCAAAATCTCACCCTGCACTGTCACTCCAGCCCCTGCCCCTCCCCAGGGTGAGAGGCGGCCTTTGGCTTCCCACCTGCCCACAGGGCCTTGCCTGTCTGGGGCCCAGCAGGTGTTTCAGCTTAGCTCCATGAGCAATTTCCCTCCGCCTTCACCTGAACACACCAACGCCTTCACCTGAACACACAGGTGCACCCTGACTCTGCTTCCACGCCCCCTCCTCCAGCAGCTTAGGGTCGAGGAACAGAATCAGTTTTCAATGCATTTGATGACCTCTGAGGAAGTCTCCTTAGAAGATTGTGGCAGCATCCTGGGATGGGAAGGGGATGTTCCAAATGAGGTGAACCTGGGGAGGTGGCCTGAGGCTCTCTGGGCCTCAGCCTCTCTTTTCTTGCCGGCAGCATGGAATGAGTATTTCATTTTCTCCTGGGCCACTGGGAGGCTCTGCCACTGTGAAGGCAAAATGCCTGGCACCAAGTGGGGCTTCTGTGACCGTGGCTCTCGCCGTAGGCTCACAGCTGCGGCCGCTGCTTCCTGGGCCTCTGTCCCTCTGTGAAGGTCTCTGCTGCTCCCCCTGTCTTTCAGACAGCGTCTTCTGTCTGGGTCGGGGTCTGGCCACACTGTCCCTGAGCTCTTCTTCTAAGCATCCCAGCAGGGAGCAGAAGTGAACCCACAGAAACCCCCATCCACTCTGGACATTGAGGCTGCCCCTGGGAGCTGGCAGATCCGGAACTCTGTAAGGCCTGCCCTAGGCATGGAGCTGGCTGGTAGCTCGAGGGTGTCAAGCCCTCCGGATCCCACCTACACAGGGGTTCCCTGGAAACGCCCATCCCTCCCACTCCGCACCCCAACCTGACCTCCTGAGGCAGTGGCTGCAGGGGCTCTGGGGGTTCGACCCCAGCAGTGAGATGGGCCATGGGGCTCAGGGGCCCTGGGTCGTGTGGGGCTCAGGCCTCAGGACAGACACCCTGGCCCTGGCCTTGGCAACAGCGCCCCTCTTGTTCCCTGGGGCATTGCTCTGCTGCTCGTCTCCTGTTTGCAGCCACCATTTATGTAGCACCGACTGTGTGCAGAGTCTGGGAAGGTGACACAGAGAAGAATAAGAAGAGGGAGTGGTCCTGCCCCAGGGGCGCAGAGCCGTCTGTGAGGGGCTGCAAAGCATGAGGAGGGGTCCACGCCTGGTCCAGGGGCCTGTGCCTGTGCTCGGGGGATGTGCTGGACAGGGCACGTGGAACGGTGCCAGAGCTGACTTTTTTCTGGGAATGGGAAGAGTTTGTTATTTAGCTTGTTCCTTTCATCTATTTGCGTTGCAGAAGTAATCCTTAAATCCAACCCTTATCTAATCACTAGAAGAGTTACAGAGACAACCAAAGTGCTCTTTGATCCTTCCCCACATCCCAGTCATCTGGGAGCACCCAGGGAGTCACATGGGAAGGGCTGGGATCAGATCTGAGGGTCTAGCAGGGAGTGTCCAGGGCAGAGCCCTTGCCAGGGTGAGCAGTGTCCGGGGAGGGAAGGGCGCCAGGGACAGGGCACAGCTGGGCCCTGAGAAGCCCGGGGGAGGTTGGGCTGGGGAGGCCGAGGTGGGCAACATGGAGCTGGCTGACGTCTGAGCAGCCCACCAAACCCACCCACCCTCAGCCGCTGCCAGGAAAACCCGCCCAGGCCCCACTCAGAGCCACTGTGGAAGTGGGGGCTCCACCAAACCTGAGCCCCCAAAGGTGTTTCTCCAGGATCCCCTGCCAGCCCTCCCTCCCACAGCCTGAGCACAGACTCCCGGATGCCCTACAGGACCACCCGCTCCCTCAGAGCCCTGCCCCACTCCCCACAGCCCTGTCCCACTCCCCACAGCCCTGTCCCACTCCCCACAGCCCTGTCCCACTCCCCACAGCCCTGTCCCACTCCCCACAGCCCTGCCCCACTCCCCACAGCCCTGCCCCACTCCCCCCGGCCCTGTCCCACTCCCCACGGCCCTGCCCCACTCCCCACGGCCCTGCCCCACTCCCCACGGCCCTGTCACACTCCCCACGGCCCTGACCCACTCCCCACGGCCCTGACCCACTCCCCACGGCCCTGTCCCACTCCCCACGGCCCTGCCCCACTCCCCACAGCCCTGCCCACTCCCCACGCCCTGCCACTCCCCACGCCCTGCCACTCCCCACCCCGCCCCCCCCCCCCCCCCCCCCCCCCCCCCCCCTGCCACTCCCCAGCCCTGCCCACTCCCACGCCCTGTCCCACTCCCCACAGCCCTGACCCACTCCCCACAGCCCATGGCATCTGGCTGTACATGGAAGTGAGGAAGCTGCTGTCTCCCCCCATAGAACGTTGCTCCCAGTCAGGGCTCACCCCCTGTGGGGCAGGGCTCACAGGCTCCTGGTTCAGAGACCAGGGCCCTTGTCAATTGCAGCGTGAACAGCAGGGTACTTTGCCCCTGAGTCCCACAGCAGGGGTGGGGACCTTGTCATGGTGGGCCCAGGTGACAACACAGGGCCAGCGATTCTTCACCCGGCAGCCAACACGGCGGCAGATGACAAACATTGCAGCCCTTGGCAAACAAAAAGCACGCAGCAAACAGTGTGGCCAGTACAGAGACCCTCCCCTCCCCGGGGACCAGGCAGGGCAAGGTCGTCCCCCGAGATGGCCTGCACCCACCGGGCCGCCTGTGTGACCAGCCACAGAACTCACTCAGCATTGGCACCCACAGCCGGGACAGGCAGGGTGCTGGGCCCGTGGTTTCCTGCATCTGCTGATACCACCCAAGGCTGCCAGGCCATAACATGAAGTCATCTGTGCCAGGAAATCCTGAGCCTCGCCCACACCTGGCCCTGGGCCGTCCCTGCATGCCAAGGGGTTGTGGGACCTCGCAGGCCTGCAGGCAGGGGGGTGGGCGCTGGGCTGGGGTCCGAGTGTGCCCCTGCTCTAGGGCATGGCCGGCAGGTGGGGACAGGGAAAAGGAAGGAGCAGGATTCCTGCCTGGCTATGGCAGTCTTACCCCACGGAATCCAGGCTCCAACTGACCTCACCATTGTGCGGGTTAATTTTGATTCTTAAAACCTTCATCTAAAGACCTTTGCTTCCTGTAACACAGGCCTGGGTTTTCCCAAAAGTCGTGGGGACCTGGCCCGGCACGTGCTGCTCAGTGCGGGGACCTCACAGCCTGTTCTATGTGAGCCGGACAGGAAAGGCTCCACGGGCAAACTCACTCTCCGTGACAATCAGGAGGTTTCTGCTCCAGCCACAAGAAGGAGCTGGGGGAGCTCCTGAGGCCAGGAAGAGAACAGCCCTAATCCCATCCTTTCCCTCCTCAGCAGGGACCCCAGGGTCTGCTGTCCTGCCCCAACCCACACTTCAAAGAAGGAAGGACACCTGCCTGCCCCTGCTGCCTCACACCCCGAAGCATGGTGAGCCTGGGGGACCCTCAGCAGAATCCTTTTGTAAGGAAGAAAAACAAACTATTGTAAAATAGCAGAAAACAAGCTAATGGCCAAACAAATCCAAGCGGGGGAAAATACCTGTGAAATACAATGACAGAATATGCTCTCCTCAAAACCCAGGAAACGTTAAAATTAAGAATACACCAAACCTCACAAAACGGGGGCAAAATACAATGATGACCACATGTGTGAAAAATGGTCAATGGTAGAACTGAAAGAAATGCAAGGGAAACAAAAGATAAGGGGCCCTTTCCCAGCAAAGTGACAATGCCACAGCAGCCTCGCAGTCAGCCTGGCGGGACAAGAATGCTGGGCAGTGCTGGTTTGCAGGGAGGGGTCGACTTTTCTGGAAGCAGCCCAGCAAAGTGCCCCAAGAGCCGTAAATTATTCCTGTGTTTGCAGCCACAGCCCCGAATGCAGGTCTAGCCACAGAAGCGCTGGAGAGTGGAGGCTGAGAGTGGCGCTGGTTGAAGATTTCTCACAGGAAACACAAGGCACGGCCTCCACGTGGCTCGAGGCCGTGAGAACCCTCGACTCAAACCATTGCACATGGTGAGGAGGACGCGGGTCAGCCGCCCGAGCTGCATGATGATGATGCTGTCAGGGAAAGCGTCGGTGCCTATGTGGGAAAATAGGGGAACGAGAAACAAACGCGAAGCGTGTGGCTCTCGGCTCTGCTGCCCTGGAGGCCGTGGCTCATCTTTTCACCATGGACGTGGGTCATTTTCATTTTAAAAAGTCTACTAATGATTCTAAGGAGACCACACAGAACCAAAAATTCTGAATAACCCTGTCTTCCTGTCTTCCATAAGGCAGGCTTTTCATTTTTGTACCTTTCTGGAAGGGCTGGATACAGAGTCTGCGGGCCTGCGATGGAGGCGCCACCGTCTCACCAGGAGTCCACGGCCCTCGGTCTCTGTGCTCCCTGAACCTAAGGTGAGGAACCCATGCCTTGTGGTTGACGAGGGCTGCTGGGGCACCTGCCCTCTCATCTGCATCCTGGAAGGCAGGAAGGAGCACAGAGGAAAACACAAGCCTGCTCTGGCCAGCTCAGTGTGCGCCTTCCAGAAACAGGTAAACATGAAATTACCCTGTGAAGCCGCCATTCCGTTCCTAGATCTATCCCCAAAAGAAATCCAAGCAGAGACTCAAACACTTGCACAGCCCTTGCCACGGCCCGGATGTACTTAGTGCCTCTGTTCCCAGCAAAACTCTTGTTGAAACAGGACCCCCAGTGTGGCAGCGCAGGGAGATGGGTCCTGAGGGGAGGGAGACGTGCAGGTCGTGGGAGTGACTCCCTGGGGAGTGCCTGGTGCTGGGAGTGACTCTCCTCTTGTGATACGGGGTGAGTTCCCATGGGAATGGATTTGTTCCCATGAGCGGGGCTTGTTCTGAAGCCAACACATCCCTGGGCTTTATCTCTCTTCCCATGTCTGCTTCCCCTTTGACCTCCGCCAGCAGAAGCAGAAGGGCCATGCCATTGAACTTCTCAGCTGACAGAACCGTGAGCTTTATGAATTACCCCATCTCAGAGGTTGTTTTATGGCCACACAGAATGGACTCAGACCCCCGTGCTCATAGCCGTGTAGTCACAATAGCCCAAAGGTGGAAACAGCCAGCAGGTGAGGGGATGTGGAACGGGGCAGACACACACATCGGGGTCTCACCGAGCCTGGAAAAGGAGTGTGCTCTGACGCAAGCAGCAACACACCAACCTTCACAACCTCATGCCCAGTGAAGCCAGCCGGTCCCAATAGGACCAACGCGGTGACCCCACAGAGGGAAGGCCCCCAGAGGAGTCAGAGTCAAGAGAAGGACGACCCAATGGTGGTCAGCAGTGCCCGGGGGAGGGGCCGATGGGAGTGAGTGATTAGTCAGGACGGAGCTCCAGTTTCGCCCGATGAAAACGTGCTGGAGCTGCATGGTGGTGACAGCGGCATAGCCGTGGGCATGTTCTCAATGCCACGGTTCTGTGCACTTCCCATGGCGATGATGGGAAATCTCATGTACCCGCATTTGACTACAGAGAGGAAGGAAGGAAGGGAGGGGGGAGGGAGGAGGGAGGGAAGGAAGGAGGAGGAAGGGAGAGAGGGAGCAGAGAAAGAAGGAAGGAAGGAAAGAAGGAAGGAAGGGAGGGAGGGAAGAAGGAACGAAGGGAGGGAAGAAGGAAGGAAGGACGAAATGGATGGAGGGAGGAAGGAGGGAAGGAGGGAGAGAGGGAGGGAGCAGAGAAGGAAGGGAGGGAGGGAGGGAGGGAGGGCAGAAACAAGTAAGGAAGAAATGAAGGAACGGAGGGAGGGGAGAGGGAGGGAGCGGAGAGGGAGGGAAGAAGGAAGGAAGGAAGGAAGGAAGGAAGGAAGGAAGGAAGGAAGGAAGGAAGGAAGGAAGGAAGGAAGGAAGGAAGGAAGGAAGGAAGGAAGTAAGTGATGGGTTTGGGAGCCATTCTGTGCCTGTCTTTGCTGCTGGCCTGAGGAGCTGGATGGCATGTTGGGAGCAGTGGGAGCTGCTGAGGAGTCTGGTCCGGGAGGGAAGAGGCTGAACGTGCATGTCTGGAGTCACCATGGAGGGCAGAGCTCGAGGGAGCAGCAGGGTGTCCCGGGGAGAAGACGCCAGGGCTGGAATTAGAGGAACATCAAGGCTGATACTTAGAGGCGTCCGATACTCAGGGCCTGCCTGATGCGCTGCTCTCAGGCGGGATTTGGGGGTGGGAGAAGGATCAGTGCCCAAAGGACCACCGGGCCTGTGGCCTGTATGCCCAGTCAGGTGACGACGCCATTCAGAAACTAGATCTCATGGGGCTGCCCGGATGCTGAGTCTCAGCCCAGATCTGCAGTGAGTGCGGTGCCCCAGGCCTGGAACACTGGTGCCGCCATCGGGACCCAATGCTGGCGCACCCAGGGGCTCTGGGTCTGAAACAGAGGTCAGAGGTCACCGACATGTGGAGGAGGCCCCTGGAGTGTGGGAGACGGAAACTCCAGGTGTCAGGCTTGGCGGGAGACTTTGCAGGACTGAGCAGGTGGGGAGGAAGGGCAGGGATTGTGGCTGCCAGAGGAGAGAGGGCACTGGGGGTGGCTCGGCCTGACGAGGCTGCTTGAAGGAGACACCCTTGGAAACTGACAGGGCTGTGGCCACTCCTGGGAGCAGGAGGAGGGTGGCCTGTCCTGGGCAGCCCAGGCTCTCTGGGCTGTGTGGCCCCAGATCCCCGAGCCCAGAGGGAGGTGAGAGTAAGAAGGCCTGGACCAGGCAGGACGCAGCCCCCAGGGCCCCTGCTGGGAAGAGGTCAGAAGCTCCCATGGACTCAGAAAGCAACTGAGGACGGAGCTGCTCTCTGCATCTCCAGGGAGGACAAAGGAGGCCGTGGCAGCAAGGGGACAGGGCAGAGGGGAAGGCCGGCAGGTGGATGTTGGCAGCTGCAGATTCCCATCCAGTATCCTGGAGGAGGAAACCCAGGGTTGAGTCCTAGGAGACCCAGGCAGCCTGGTCAGCCTGGAGGCTGACGGTGGGCCCAGGAGATCTGGGAAGGACATCAGTGTCTCCACAAAGAACAGCAGGGTCTCAGACCCCAGCAGCCGCAGCCCCCACAGCTGGGGCCGCAGCCTTGAGAGCCGCCACAGCAGCCCATTGGTCTGGCGGGTCAAAGGTGGAGGCTGTCAGAGGGGCAGTGCAGGGGCTGTTGGGGTGAAGTCCCCTGTAGCGGGACCACCCATCCTGCTGTGACTCTGCCCTCCTGGACCCCCTGCCCTCCTGGATCCCCTGTCCTCCTGGACCCCCTGCCCTCCTGGACCCCCTGCCTTCCTGCACCCCCTGCCCTCCTGGACCCCTGTCTGTGGCCCCTGCTCCTCTCCTTCCCTGACACACGACTGGGTCCCCGATCTGTAGCCGGGGTCTGAGCACCTGGGGCCCTGTGGGCCTCTCGGTGTCTGGGGACAATCACAGGTTCCCGTGCCCACGCCCAGCCTCTGCTTCCAGAACACACTAGAGGGTCCCAGCATCCTGATGACTCCACTGTCCCCGCGATGGTTTTCAGGGATGGAGAAGGCTCCCTGTCCTCCACAGGAACCCTGCAGCAGGGCTGATGGCCTGTGTACCCCACCACTCGCCCAGGGGCCCCAGACCCTCCCCCATCTCCACCGCTAACCCAGGCCCAGGCTGCCCACCCGGGGCCAGGCCGTGAGCTGCCGTCCCCAGATGGGGCCGCCCTTGGCTGGCCTAGCTCACTCCGTGTCACAGATATTCCCACAGAGACCCCAGCGAGACCTGCAGAACATTACAGCAAAATGAAGGAGAGCCAGAGGAAGAGGCAGATGTGCTGGCCTGTAAACAGTCTGATTTCCAATGTAAACCAGATTCAGGCCACGACATCAGGTAAACATCTGCATCACAGCCCCGGGGCCCCACCGCCCGGGAGGCCCCGGGGTCCACACGGCCGACTCTGGGACCCGTCACGGTGACCGCTGAGACATTTCGCAATTAGGCAGAATTGATCCTTGCATTCCTTCCCTAAATCCCACATCTCTGCAATTTCACTTCTTCTCAAAAATGAAAACATTTGGCAATTAGCTGATCCAAGTGAAAAAGGTAGAGAATGTGCTCTCAACTGGAAAATGCCAATTAAGGAAGCAGCTCTGACTTCCCACCCGCCCTGGCTAAGCTGGGAGCTTATCTTCCCCGAGAGGAATCTGCTGGGATAAGGGGGCTTGGGAAACATCGAGGGCAGGGCTGCCTCCTCAGCTTCCTCTGAGAACGGATTAGCCATGGCCTTGCACCAGCGTGGCCTGGGTGCCGCATGGGGTGGCGGGGTCGGCAGAGCTGGGCCTGGCTCTGGCATTGGGATTTGGGGTGGTGGGACCCAGTGGGCCACCCTCTTGTGGGCAGCACTGAGGACGGTGACATAGGCAGTGAGTGCTGGTGTCTGTCCCTCCAGCTGGCCGGGCTCCCCACTCGGCTCCTGCAGCCCTGGACCTCAGGGCCCATTTGGGGTGCAAGGGGGCTCTTGGCCATTTTGCCTGCAGGGCCCTACCTTGGATCTTGGGAGCTTCTGTCCCTTGCCCTCCCTTGTCCAGGTCAGTGTCTCCCCCGTGGGAATCCTCTGTGGCCCCATCCTCTGGACAGTGTGGGTCGGGTCACTGGCTATTTCGTGATGGGTGTGTGGGCTCATCCCTCAGTGCTGAGAAGCCGAGAACACTATGGAACCGCTTTTCAGGCTCCGTGTCTGTCACCCCCTCTAGAGACTTGATTGCAGGGAACATGCTGGGCCGGCCTAGCTGCACCCCCTCTCTGCAGATGGCTCGGGGGACCCAGACCTGCTGGCCCCTGTGGTGGTGCAACCCAGAGGCTGTGAATCAGTTTACACAGTTCAGTGGCTGAAGAAAAGTCATAGGACAAATTGTACTTGGTTGCGCAAAATACTGATATGAAATTCACATTTTGTACTGAAGGAAACGCCAGATGAATTGAACTCACGTTCAGTTTTTATTTCTCATTTCTTCCGCCTCAGTCTCTTCTCATGTGCACGACCTCACAGGGCTGTCACAAGGCCTGCTGGGCACATGCAGCTCATAGAAAAGTAATGGCTTCCTCCTCGCCCCCTCACCTCCCTCCTTCCCCTCTCCCCCTCACTTTGGAGCATGCAGGCTGATTGTGGAGACATCTCCCAGCCAGGATGTGTCAACAGGGAATGTGCTGGGGACAGCAGGAGTTCACAGCCACCCCCGCAGGCGCCTTCCTGGAGCACGTCCACAGGCCATATGCAGCTGCATCCCCCCACGACAGCAGGGACAAGTTCCTTCCAGAGGACCTGGGTGGCCCCCAGAGCTGCAGCATTTATGATCCAGTCCTTTGCAGAACGCAAGGGACAGACACATGAACCCTGACCCAGGTTCTTGTGCAGAAATGTTCTCTCTTCAGAATAGAAAGGTATGAGTCTCAGGGCTGGGTCTCTGCAAAGCAGCCATCGGCCTTTCAGGTGGAAACCATGGAGCCCTCAGAGGCTGCGTCTTCCAAGGAGCTGGGAGACGTGCATCTGCCTCTTTTTAAATGCAATGACTATTGCAGTGCATAGAATCAGAGACATGTATCCACGCGTACAAATGAGTCTGTAAACACGATCAAGGTGTGATTTTTGTATGACAATGCAGTTGGATCAGAAATAAGGGAGTGCGGGCCGGGCGCGGCGGCTCACGCCTGTAATCCCGGCACTTTGCGTGGTCGAGGCAGGCAGATCACTTGAGGTCAGGAGTTCGAGACCAGCCTGGGCAACATGATGAAACCCCATCTCTACTGAAAACACAAAAATTAGCTGGGCGTGGTGGTGGGTGCCTGTAGTTCCAGCTGCTTGGGAGGCTGACGTGGGAGGATCACTTGAGCCCAGGAGGCAGAGGCTGCAGTGAGCAGAGATGGCACCACTGAACTCCAGCCTGGGCAACAGAGCGAGACTCCATCTCAAAAAAACAAATAAATAAAAAAGAAAGAAAAGAAGAAATAGTGGAGTTGCTGTGGTCACTCTGGGAAAAGAGGAGGGACCCCCCCCCAAAGGTGGTTTCTCCATCAACCCTGATGATGCCCCACACACCAGGAAGAGATGAAAGGGTCTGGTGCTTACCTAGCTCGGCATCCACAGGGTGCAGGTGGTTTCAGGAAGGGAGCTGGCGTGGGGCTGTTATTATGCCTCGGGGATGGGGTGATGGCCTCACATGGGCAGGAGACTGCAGGGCTTGAGCCTTTCACTGGCACCAAAGGCACCTGCCCTGCTGTGGAGCACACGGGAAGAGGGATGGGTGAGGCGTCAAAGCAGTGAGCCGTCAAACATCATAAAAACAGAGTCAGGCTCTTTATTGCAGGAAGCAATTTATTTGTGGCTTTCTGTGCAGAGAGCAGGGGGGATTTGAGGTGGGCTTTGTAGAGTGAGGGAGTTCACCAGATTGACAGTGTGGGCTGGATCACCCCTGTGCAAAGCGCAGCCATTTCCACGTTGCCCCTGAGAGAATGTTTTCCTGGGATCTCCAGCGTTGAGATTTAAAAATTATCATGTTCATAGTTTGATGAT